TAAATATATAAATAATAATAATATAATATTTATATATATAATATAATATTATATATTATATATATATATATATATATATATAATATAATATTATATATTATATTATATAATATACAATAGTATTTAATAATATATTATTATAATATATTATTATATGATATATTGATATATATAAAAATATATATATTATAATATATATATATATATATATATATATATATATATATATATATATTATATATTAATTTATATAATATTATAATTGTTCTAATTATTCGGACAATTCTTTATTCGAATAAATTATGCGAACAGTGATNTAGAAGGCAGTATCTCAACACAGAATCACCTAAAACGAATAATATTTTCAATTTGGGAGCTTTAAAGAGTCCTCAATTTACCGCAAAGCAAACATTTTCAATATGTTAAATTTAAGAATTTTGAAATTAAATTTAAAATTGAATTTTGGCCACAGAACGCGGGTTTACCAGGTCACTGATGCCGGATGGATGAACGCGCGAACACTGGTATTCGACTAATCAGTGAAACCATTTGTCTCCAGCTGATTCATTAGACCGCGAAAATGCTTTTCGCTCGGTTCGCATTAATAATCGCCGCTTCCTTAAACTACTAGCGCGGTTTAAAAACTGTTTCCGATGCGAGCCGTGGGACCCGTCGACCAACGAGACAAAGGTTTAATTCGCATGGCCCCTAATCAGCCGGTGTGATCGATGTACCACAAAGATAAGGGAAACACACTGGGAGACGTGCCAACGTGTAGCAATAAAACAAATCCGCGACGATAGAAAAAGCCGGCGGAAGTGCTTGCATGCAATGGTCGCACAGTGGACAATTCTTAAATATGGGACAAAGGCAGAGAAAATGTACGTGTACTCGATCAAAAATTTGTCGAGTCATTTGATTCATAGGTACCTAATCTTAATTATTGTTTTCATTTTAAAACTGTGTTTTCAGCTTCAGATAACTATAATCGTGAAGGAAAAATATTTGCTTAAACCATGGCAATTAGCACTTTTTTGTCTTTGATGATCTCCCTAATAAAACGAGACAATTTTTGTTTCGTTTTACGTTTCTAGATTTTGGCAATGGAAGAATCGAACATTTTTTAAGATCGTTCTTTTATTTTAAAAAATTATAAATGGAATCTTTGTCACAATCTTTACTCGCGAACAAACTGTTTTCGAATGTTTAGACTTTGTCGCGTTGCATATTATTGATATTTTCCATTATAGAATCCAGAATGCATTATAGAATCAAAAGTGATTCGACGTCTAAAGGGACATTAGTAGCAACAAATATTAGGGGGACCGGAAAGTAATGTCGTTTCTGCGCATATTTATCTGTTTGAATTTAATGTAAACAAACGACATAACTTTCCGGTCCCCCTAATAATTTTCAATTTAACGAAATGAATAATTATATGAAAACACACTCGATTCGTGATGTAAATTCTACAAAAGATTGTGAAAAGATAATACCGAGAGAATAATGCAGGAGAGCAAATGTAGAATATCACCCATGATTCTTTCTGCTAATGTAGCATAATTTAATCTAATTTATTGAATTGAATTTCTGTAAATTAAGTAAGATGACTATTAAAAATGCACTGGCTCGAAAGAATCGTGTAACCGCAGTCAGGAGATCGATAAACGAAATTGAACCACTTTCGAGTTCTCTGTCATCGAGCGCATTTTTTCGTGTACAGAAATGCTGCGAGAAATCTTGCGAGCAATTTTTGCGCATAAGATTTCACTCGGTGCCGCGATTTTTGTCCGCAAAGCGGCGAGGATCGAGTACCGCGCGGCACGAGTCGCGATTCCGTTCCGTGCACCGTGGCCATCGTGTGTCTCTAACCTTGTCAAAAATTCTTTCTGCCTTTCACGGTATCACCGGACAGGGATCACGGAGGCGCAGCCGGTTATTCCGCTGGCGCTGAACACGGCGATCAATCTTGCCAGGCCAATTCCCCCGGCTCAAGAATATCCATCTAATCCGCCGCCCATACCACCGCCGCCGGAAAAGTATTACGCCAGTACGGAGATCTGCAAGGTGAGTATCAAAAATGTACGGCAGACATGCGATCCGTGACGATTAGTCCTTCTCGGGGGCATTAATGCGGGCCACTTCGGGCCGCTCGGAACTGTGTCAAACACCACTTCGTGACTCTAGGATCTTACAACGCGATCGCAGCACGCGGGCCGGCCACTTGAATCGTTTCCCTTTCGAGGGTTGCTGCCCGGCGCGAGCTAATCCGACGACGGGCTCTCCTCTTAATTCCATGTTGTTTCGCTGCCACGCTGTTCCCGGTCTCTGCTTTAATTTCATTTCGCTGAATTTTGTCCCGCCGAGATTCCGCGGCTGCGCGAAAAAAATAATTCGTGCCTTGCACCGATCTCCTCGTCGAACGCTCCGGATAGTTTATTGCGCGTCCTTCCTATTCAGCGATTCGCGGTTCGCGCGTGATTCTCGTTTCACGGTTCAGCAATTATACTCGAATTGTTTCGAACAAATATTTGTGTCTGAGATAATTACTCGAATTATTATTCTGCCGAGTTTATAATATTTTATTCGAATATCAATTATTCATTATTCGTCATAAATTATTCGTCTGTTTAGTGAAATAATTCTTCGTTCGAATAAATTAATAAAATAGAGGTTGTAAAATTATTCGAACGACAATGCGAATAATTATAATTAACACATTCTTCCGGGACATGTGCTTCGATCGTTCTCCAGTCTGCGTGCGCGTTTTCACTGCAATGTTTGGCAGCGATCGAATAAGCTGAATTTTTGCACATACATTTATACACACGTTCGATGTGACAGCGCAAATGTTTATGTGTCATTTGATTAAAAATTGTGGGAGTTATTAGTCGGTCTCGTTTTGTTCGTCTTTTGATTGGACAATTTTGTAGTTCGAAGTGTATAAAACATTATGTGAAAATGATTCTTAAAAATCTGAACAATCGTTAGGGTTATAGCGATTTTGTGAATGTTTCACTATACGTAATTATAAACATTCGATTATCAATGGATGGTTAAAATTACGTTAACGTCTTAGCATCTTTCAGTCCACTACTCTATAAAATAGCTAATAATATATATATATTATATATAATAATATATATAATATATAATAATTTTATATAATAATATATAATATATATAATGTATATAATATTTAATATAATAATATATAATAACAGTAATAATATACAATATAATATAGTAGTAATATAAATTACTACTATAATAATAAATATAATATAATATTATATAATAAATATAATAATATAGTAGTAATAATATATAATATATAATAATATATATTCTTCGGACGATTATGCGCTCGTGTAACGCGATTTCGAGATCGATGAATCGGTTTCGTGGCCGCAGTGGAAATGCGGCTTTTCACCGATGGGAACAGGATCACAATCAATTTTTCTCACGCTCGGAATTTGTCGGGCGACGTTGAAACACTTCGAACGAAGAATAATGAAGCATAATGGATAAAAAACATGGCAACCAGAGGGCACTATCAATCATAACTAATGCGAGACGTCCAAGGGAAACGTCTTTCGTTGGCACACGCAGATTACCGAGCGATATTGTAAAGGGTGTGTTTATTGATTACTTAAGTTCCCGGTGGCCTTGCACGTATTTTCATCCGATTACGGCGCCGTTCCCCTTTAAATTGAATATCGCTAATCGCCAGTGTATTTACCGAAGAAAGATCGTCCGTGATTTTTCGACATTCGCTTTCTAATTACCCTCGAAGGTAACGGAAAAATAATTGAACGGAATGGGGCACCGATAACGGGTTCATGAATAATACGAACGCGGTAATTAAATACTTCAGGGATCCGTTGGAGTTAACGCGACGCTGCATTTAGCGGAGCTCCAAATGGACTCTTCTCTGGACTCTGCTGCATCTTGTAAAATGTAAAATGAATAGATATACAGTGAATTCTCTCGAATTTTCCTTCAGCTTGTAAACAAAAATGGACAATTTGAGAAGATCAGACGCGATTATTCGAGCCTCGCGACTTATTTTTATAGTTGCCGATAATAAATAATAAATAAATAATTAATCGCCGAGAATAAATAATCGTATCTCCTCTTCTCGAATTGTCCATTTTCGTTTACGAGCTGAAGAAAAATTAGGGAGAATTTATCTCTACCTAGAAAGTATCGTTATCGAACAACAGCGAACAAAATCCTGCCATTATTTCTTTTTACTTTAAAGCTCAGTAAATTCATTCTTATTGGTCCAGTCATCTATCAGCATTTCATAAGTTCCTTTAAGTTCCTGGAGGAAGAGTAATTGATACCGTTGTCGCTCAACTTATCCCCATTTTCTTAGCAAGACCATTAAGCTTCTAATGAAAAACTTTCGCAATTTTTCATAGATATACTTTCGAATGTCGTCTCCTTTAGGACATCGAACATTTTCGCGAGCCATTAATATTCCGAATTTCGAAAAGCTTCTGAGAAACAATTTAGCTAACATTCTCGACCATACAAGCATAACACAAATGTTGACATAGTTTCAAAACAAGTAGCGAGAAAAGACGAGAAAGACGATTTTGCTGATCATTTTTCATGTTCGTATTTATTTAAATTTTCTCATTGGATCTTCGGATCTTTTTAGGGGTTCAAAATAAATGAGGATTTACGAACTTCTATAACGAACTTCTATTATATTATATTATATATAATATATATAGATATAATATTATACATATAATATAATAGAATTATATTATAATAATATATTATTTATAATATATTATTTATATTAATTATATTATAATATAATATAATTATATTATATTATATATAATATATATAGATATAATATTATACATATAATATAATAGAATTATATTATAATAATATATTATTTATAATATATTATTTATATTAATTATATTATAATATAATATAATTATATTATATTATATATAATATATATAGATATAATATTATACATATAATATAATAGAATTATATTATAATAATATATTATTTATAATATATTATTTATATTAATTATATTATAATATAATATAATTATATTATATTATATATAATATATATAGATATAATATTATACATATAATATAATAGAAGTTCGTTATAGAAGTTCGTAAATCCTCATTTATTTATATATAATATAATATATATTATTATAATATAATTAATAATATATTAATATATATACTATATTACGAACTTCTTCTATAACATGACAGATTCGTTGCGTGTCGTATCGAGACCGCAAATCCGTTCCGTATTACGTCGAAATCGTGTTCCGAGTGCACTCCGATATACAGTAATTTCTCCCTAATTCGCGCTACCCTAATTGCGCCTTGTGGTTCGTTCTTATATCGAGGCTCGAGTAATCGCATCTCCTTTTCCCAAACTGACCATTTTTGTGCGCAATCTTAGCGCGAATTAGGGAGAAATTACTGTATCAAGAGAAATTTTAAAACAATAGGAGTCCAAAAAATCCTTCCAAAATATTTTCAACGATTCGATATCTCGGATTTGAAACCATCAACCGGCAAGCAACAACGCATCCGTTCGAACAAAAACGCAAAACGAAGTGGACGAATATCGCATAGGGATCTTTTATGCATACATTCCCGACTGCGAGGATTAAATATATTAATTCCGCCGGTAGAACCGCTAGAAGATTGCATGAAATGAAGCGAGAGATAAGGAATGAAGTTCCGCGACTGTGTGTTTGGAAATATTTTCGGCTTTTCCGTTTCATCGGCGCATTTGCCTTTTATTACAGAATTCTCTGCCGCCGTTGCCGCCGTCCCCCACGCCGAGCACGCCACCGCCAATGAGCGCGAAAGCCTCTAGCAGCATGACAAGCTACAGTCCCGAGGATATGCTTACGGAGGAGGAAGACGAGGTGCCCGAGTGCATCTTAGACTTCCCCCGGGAGAAGCTCAACATCGTTGAAAACCTCGGCTGCGGATACTTCGGCGACGTTCACATTTGCGAGGTCGACAGGTTTCCTGGATACGACGAAGTTTTCCGGAACACCAGCAGCGACCTCGTGATCGTTAAGTCTCTGAGACCCGGATCTTCGGATGCGCTTAGGTAAGGATCCTGTATTATCATCAACTGCCTCCGCGCGTCGCGTATTAACCCGAAATTCGCCGGCATTAAGCAAATAATCGCGAAAGTCGAACGGTTTCCCGGCAACCGAGACACCTCGGGCTTTTCGCCAACCTACAATGTTTCGATTAATCGTCGATCGTGCGTTACACTTGTGCAATGTCGAACCTTGTGGCACCGACAATGCTATTTGCTTAACCCGTAAGTGCTATAATTGGTCTCTCGGAACGTTACCAATTACTTATTCGTCTGTGGTGGCAATATAATTGCAAGAAAAATCGTGAGAATCTAAAAAGAGGAACATTTTTAATACACTTGCTTCTACTCATTCGAACTTGGATCTCTACTTTATTCATGTGCAGAGTAAGAACAATTGGTTTTGACTTTTCATAGTCGACACTTTTATATCAATAATAAAGCAATAAACATTAGAGCAGCCTCTGAGACCGCTAATAGCGATTACGTAAGTTTTAAAGTACGTACGTAAGTTCAAAATTATGGTATTTCCGGAAAATACGGAGTTCCTGGTGTGATTTGAAGTAACTTTTCTCTTAGCAAAAATACAATCCGTGGCTTCGTTCACGAGTTATTAACGAAAGACGGCGACCAATGAGAGGCGAGATTAGCTGACGCGGCGCTGGGCCTGGCGCGCTCGCTTCACGTCAGCCGAGCTCGTCTCTCATTGGTCAGTGTTTTTCGTTAATAATTCGCCAACGACGCCTCGGAGAAAATTTTTGTAAAGGAAAAAGTTGCTTCGAATGACCTGAGTAATCTCTAATTTCCCGGAAGTACCATAATTTTGGGACACCCTGTATATATATACATACATATATATAATATAAATATAATAAATAATAGAATAATTAATATAATAATAATAATAATAAATAATATAATAATATATATGTAATAGGTGTATATTTTATTATTAACACTAAACATATCATGCCGGTCATTTCGACCGTTTTTATTTTCTATTGTAAGATTGATTGTCGCTATAAAGATTCCTTTACAAGTTGAATCGATTTCTCAACTCAAGCATACATTAGTATAAAAGTGACGAAATGACTAAATAAATTCAATCATATCATTCTTATAAAACAACATTTCTCAGTCTCGTTTAGCGCTCGGTAGGTTCAGTGTTAATGTTTCCTTCGTTTGTGACATGGATACGGATTGACGAACTCTCAAAATTCATCAAGATTTATAAAATGCTTGGAATGAAAGTTTCATACATACATACATTTACAGGAACAGTAGTGTTTCAAAATTTTCCGACCGATTGTTTCAATAAGAGGGAATTTGGATTAAAAAAAAAATTGTTTGATATTTTAAGTGCATATTTATTTAAAGCTATTTATTCGGCGTATTTTATGATCGTTTTCGTCTACATATTTTCTTTTGCTTTAATTGTGTTGAATAAACTTTGGCGAAACATACTTCGCGCCGCATTTAATTTACTGGATGTCATAGAAGTTCAGGTAAAATGATATAAATATTTTAATTTTGTACCAAGGTTCCACTGGTTGCTGTCTAAAAAGGTATTTTAGTTGTCACTGTAAACGAGGATTTATTTTTTTGTAGCCTATTCAGAGTTTGAAAAGGAAAAGCTTCCAAAGGATTTCATTCTTCCTCGGTATTATTGTTGAACTACGAATTACATTAAAAACGTCATTGCATGAGAATATAAACTTTGAATTAACACTAACCGTACCGAGCGTTAAAAGCGTCTCGTATATGCGTTGCCTTATAAAAATTCTAAAACTTAATTTATTTCATTTTTTTGCAAATTTTAAATTAATATACATCCGAATGAATAAATTTAATTAATGTTTCCCGGTGGATGCGTCTATATAATTTCAATAATTTATAGAATAAAAGCTGAAGCGGTCATTTGACCGACGATGGTACGATTATTATTAATTCATTGGACAACACAACAATTATATGAAAACAAGATAGCGAAGTACAGAGCAAGTCCAACAATGCAGAAAAATTCATTCATGCGATCTTCACATAAAAGTAGAAAAAAAGTTGCAAATTCGTTTACCGATATACGAAATTACGGTAATTACGAACGAGTATATTTTGATGAAGGAAAATATATTCGATAAGTCGTGACACCGAAAGCTTCAAATTTAAAATACCGGAATCCGAATCTGAAATTTGCGGAGCAGCTTATTACGCCTGATGGACGTTTATATTTTCGAATTAATCTGACCGATTGCGCGGAGCGTCCCTAAAAAAGGAAGCGCACGGGGTCAAGCCATCCAGACAGTCAATTACTGTTTCGAATAAAACTTCCGTGCGGCTTCGATCCTCTTTTTTTCCATCGGCGCAGAGCTGGGGAAATTTTGACGCGAAATCAATATTGGCATTAGACGTTCGAACTTTCCAGTTCGTTATTGCCTCGTGATTCGCAGGCAGTTTAAATAATTCCCCGGAGAGTTTAGCCGGTTTCAAAGGATATCTAGGTCGAATTCGAAGCTCGATACAGTCAATTACGGAACTGCCTGGGCAATCGTAGGTACACGGTGTCGGTGTTGCGTCGTTAAGGCCCGTGTCGGGAAAAATAATAGCGTCGCGGCCCCCTCGGAGTTATTCGATTATAACTGCAGTCGCCGGCCGTTTAAACACCTTTTGCATTATCGCGTCCGGGCAAATTAATGCGTCGAGCGTGTTATTATATTCGAAATCACTTTGCGCCACATTATCGAATTATCCCGTTAACGTGCCCGCTCTAGATATAATCGATTGGGATAATTTTCTATCGATGTCCTATATTTCCATTATTTCCCTTCTATGCTCTCGGCCACCCGCGCCACCTTCGCGCCGTTCTAACGATCATAATAAATGAATCGGGGGGGTAACACTGCATAATCGGCCAGTGTAATTCGCCGGCGTTATTCCATGACTCGGTCGCTTAACCGGTTAGCTGTGTTTTACGAGCACAGTAATTTCGCCCTAATTTCGCGCTCGGATTGCGCAGAAAAATCGACAATTTGGGGAGAGGACAAATCGATTGACGATCGGTAACTATAAAAACCAGAGACGCAAGGCTCGAATAATCGTATCTTCTTTTCCCAAATTGTCCACTTTTGTGCACAATCTGTGCGCGAGTATACTCGTCGTGCGTAAAAAATAGTGACCATTGGCTATTTAAATTGTAATTTTCGTGAAAACAAAAACATATTCTCGAATTTCAAGACGTTTAGGATAATCTCCAACATTATCCAACCTACTGTTTTATGTGAAAGCCCCTGAAGTGGTGGCGCAAATTATTTTTCCGGGGACTGGAAATTTGTTTAATCAATTCGTATATTCTCTACAAACATGTAAAAAGACAAAGAAACGAACAGCCAGTTACACATTTGAACTTTCGCGAAATTTTGATCAACAAATTGAGAGGAGATTTTCGTCATCCACGAGATAGATCTTCAAGTTCGACGGCCAACTCTGACGAAATGAATCGGAGGGTAACACTCCATAATCGGCCAGTGTAATTCGCCGGCGTTATTCCATGACTCGGTCGCTTAACCGGTTAGCTGTGTTTTACGAGCACAGTAATTTCGCCCTAATTTCGCGCTCGGATTGCGCAGAAAAATCGACAATTTGGGGAGAGGACAAATCGATTGACGATCGGTAACTATAATATTCTTTTCCCAAATTGTCCACTTTTGTGCACAATCTGTGCGCGAGTATACTCGTCGTGCGTAAAAAATAGTGACCATTGGCTATTTAAATTGTAATATTTTCGTGAGAATAAAAACATATTCTCAGATTTCAAGACGTTTAGGATATTTCGAGGTCAAGCTAGAATGAAACAAACATATCAAAAATGTGAATAATTATACGAATAATTCACGATATTGGTGTTCGGCGTGCAAATTGCAACGGCGTGCAACATTCGGGGTGCAACATTTTCGTTGGGAATTTCATTGGGAAAACATCAATTCTTGACCCGACGTGTTCTACTACCATTGTGTTCTATTATCTGAAGATGCAAATGCGTTATTTTCTTTGACTTTTATTCGAGGGAAGTTATACACTCCTTCTTGTTTTCTAATTTAAATCGATAAATTCTATTTCATTTCTAATGTTAAATTTTTAAGCAATACAAACTATAGTATTCTCTCTCCAAATGTCAAAATCTTCCTATGCCATAGACATAGACAAAATTTTTATAGTCGCCGATTGTCAAAATTATAAAAACGAGGTGCAAGACTGGAACAATCGTACTTCCTCTTCCCAAATTGTCCATTTTTGTTTAGAAGCTGATGGAAAATTAGGGAGAATTTACTGTAGTAGGTACATGACCGTCGAATCGTGGCATCTGTCCTCCGAATGTCGTCAAATCGTGGCATCTATCCTCCGAATGTCGTCAAATTGAAGCATCTCTTCTCCGAATGTCAGTCGAACGTAGGCCGAATAGTATAACTTCACTGATATTTTCTTTCGAACAACATGTGTAGTCGGATTTTCTAATCCTTTCTTCGTAAATAAAATAAGTTACTTGCTACGTATAATGAATAAATATAGTCTAAAGCACGTCGTGTTTGGTCTCATTTTAATTAGAAAAATCTGACCAATGTATTACAAAAAATTCATGTATAAAGAATTGAAAATGACAAAGTTAAGTCATCGTTTTTATTCTAGCATTACAATGTATTCATAGTATTGTTCACCGGCATGCTGGACGCAGCCTTCCAGGTAGTTTCGTTCGATCCGAGTTTCATTCTCTCTCTCTCTCTCTCTCCCTCTCTCTCTCTCTTTCTCTCTCTCTAATACACACACAAGATGTCTGCAACTATAAAGGCGACCCGCAAGGCTCGAGCAATCGTATTTTACTATTCTCACACCTGTCGGTTACAATTCCGACTCTGCGTCTTTTAGGGAGAGATTACTGTAATACTTACAACTACGTTACATCGGTACTTACAACTCGATGTTCAAATAATTAATTTTACAAACAGTTCGTTTAT